TATGTATTTTGAAAAGGATTTTAATTTTTTTTATTATTTAAATCATGATTTAAAAATCAAATCAAACATTGCTTTTAGTTTTGGCGTTAAAAAAAAAAAAAAAAAAAAATTTTGAAGCACATTGATTTTTATTTTTGTAAACTATTTTAGCGGAGAGGACAATCTCAAAAAGTCAAACACGTCTTATTAGATAACTTTATTCCATACACTAATGGCAAATCCAATCAATAAACTTCAATGGGACCCAAACATATGTACAATAAAGTATGGATTCAACAAATACTAGGCTTTAAAATTTGTCATATTTGTTAATGATAACATTTCTCTTCTCCTTTCCTCTGCTGTTCTTTTTCTTGGCTCCACTTGTAAGAGTTGGCTTTATATAGTTCATCATTAATCTTAAAATTGACAAAATTTTGATATCTCATTTGTTACTAATTTAATAATATATTAAAAAAATGAATTCATTAAATTAAATGGTATTATTCAAATGAATAATGCTTGGGACCCCCTTTTGGGGTCACCCCCTCACCCCCTTTGCCACGTGGCAGGGGGTGATTGGAGGAGCAGGAAAAAAAAGAAAAAGAAAAAGAAAAGGTAACCAATGAGAGAGAGGGAGGGTCAAAGGGGGTGGGGGGAAAAGGGGGATGAATTATTACTCTATTCAAATTAAGTTATTCTTGTTATAAAAATGAAGAAAATGTAAAGCAAATAAAGTAATAATTTAAATACAAGATGTAGAGAAAATTAAGTTCTTGGCTTATATTTAGTTCTTCAACAATCTTTAAATATAAATGTTCAGGATCTAATTATGTTATTTATTCAATAATTTAATTATACATTTCAATATAATTCTCATCATTTTGCTCCTCTCAAAAATGCTTAAGAGCACTAAAAGTAGAGCTCTGATGAACGCTCTACTTATGTGACAGTGGACCCCACACATGAATGATGTGATATATGTATTTTTTTTTATTTTTTTTTTACTCTATATCACATCCTTAAAGTCGTTAAAATTTCAAATTTAAAACTATGAATTATTGCTCTTTTTCTCTTTTCGTGTTTTCACTTCATTTATTTCTTTCACACTTCACTTCCCTCTTGTACCTTTCCATCTTCACTTCAATGACATATATATATATATATATATAGCAAAACATGAATGGAAATACTATTTCTATTAGTATTTAGGTCTCGTTTGGGAACAGGCTAATTTAGTAACTTTTTGACTATTTGGCTAAAAAGGTGTAAAAAAGGTAGGTAAAAAAAACTTATATGTTTGGGATGACTTTTTGGCTAATTACGAAAAGATGTGCAAAAAGTAGAGAGAAAAGAGAATCTTTGACTTTTTGGTATGAGTTGTTGGCTTTTTGGCTAAAATAATAATTTTTTGACTTTTTTGGCTAAAAAGATAAGTCCCCAAACGGGCCTTAATCTATCATATTCATGGTTAATATCACACCATTCCATCTATCATATTTATTGTGGTTAGCCACATGTTTCACAATAATTTAGACATTATTGATAATTATTTAGTACTTACTCCAAAATAATTAGTTTAAAATGAACTTATACATTTTTAAACAATTTATGTTTCCATAAATTATCAAATGATTCCGGAATATCACACATTTTTGTGTAACTAATGATATCATGCAATTTGTCTACAATATTTTTTGTTTTCCGAAAATGTAAATATATAACCTTTTTATGATTTATGAAAAATTATATTCTTACATAAAATTCATATAAAAAATTTCACAAGAATGATGTGTCAATATCATTATTATAAATAAGTTTATCTTTAATGATATTTTGTTTTGAAGTAAAAGTTCACATTGAGTCATATCATTATATATAAAAATTATGTATAATTTTTTTTTTTTTTTCTGTGTAGCATTACTCACCTATAGCAATTTTTGGAAAAACCCAAGCAATGCTCAAGAAAAAGCCCAAACTAAAGCTTTGACCAAAAAAGCCCAAAAGAGACCCGATGGGCAACAATTCAGCCCAAACTTAGTTTGTTTGATTTTTGTTCGACCGAGCCCATTTAAAAATGGTGCTATGGCTGCCACGTGAAGCCATGTAAGCCCATTTCAAATATGGAATTGTGATCCTCTTCATTATTTAAGAATTTGTAATAATTCTTTTTAAATTTAAAACATTAATAAATTTTTATGATTATTTCTAAATCTTTAGATGATGTAATAGACATTTTCCATTACAATTATGGAATGGAGAGGATCTTAATCCTCAAATATACTGTAATTTTTTAGTATAATTATCAACAGGTCCTATAAACCAAATTTATTTATTCACAAGTCCTTAGTGAAAATTTTTATATATTAATCCCTCGTTTTGATAATGAGAAAAATTTAGGACTTTTTAAATATATATTTTGTGTTTGTGAAACGATCATTTAGTATATGTAATATTGAAAATTTTATCAAAGTCATAATTATTGGCATATTTTGGCTTTAGTTTGTAAGTTTTGATTTAGTTTTAGTTTATTTTCATTAGTATTTATTGAAATATAATGTGAGAAGTTTAAGTAGTTAAATTATATTTATAAAAAATATTTTTACAATGATAAATTTATAATTAAAAGTTAATATAGGACTTAGTGATAAATAAGTCTGATGTAGAGAATCGACTTGTAACTGTCAAACTTTCTAGGGTTCCAATTTGTCTGTTGTGATTGTAATTAAGCTTCAAAAAACTTGGCAGGTTTGTCTCTGCTCTGGATCCATTCAATGACCATAAATATTTCCCTCAGCATTGGGACGAAATCAGAATTTTATCAGCGAAGGGGCCAAAAGATAAATAAAATTTTTTTATCATAGAGACAAGCTCATATATATGTACAATAAGAAAATCAAAGATGAAAGGAGGTTGGATTCCAGTACTAAACAGGAGAGGGCGACCAGCAAATCAAGTTGGGTACAAGGAAGGAAGTCGTGAACAGATATATACTCTGTTTGTAGACAACTTACCAGAATCCATGGAACCAAGAAGAATGTTTGACTTGTTCAAAAAATTTGGAGTGGTTAAGGATGTTTTTATTCCATAGAAGAGGAGGAAAACAACAAACACAAGATTTGGATTTGTTCGGTTTGACTGTCATGTTGCAGCTAGTGTAGCAGAACAAAAGACAAACGGATTATGGGTTGATGATAAAGCCTTGGTAGTTCAGAGTGCAGCCTATGGGAAAGGCAGCGATGATAGAAGGAGGCTCAAACAAGTGCAATGGAGACAAACGAAGCCAAGAAGGCCACCGGGCACAAATGCATCTAGAAGCTGGAATCAAGTCTTAGATGGCAGATCATATGTAGAGGTCACCAAAGGAGCTCAACTAAAAGGTCACTTAACTCCCACAATCAGAGTCGAAGAAATAGGAAATGGCTGGTTGTATGAGAGCTTGATTATGAGACTCAAATCTGGGTACTCTCTTGTAGAAGTTAAAGCGGAACTAAAACTGAAAGGAGTGAAGGATGTCCTGGTGAGAGAAGGAGGTGGTCGCGATATAATAATTTCTTTCAGATCTAGAGAGGCCTTGACAAATATGATAGGCTTGGTTAAGGAATGGTTCCATGCCTGGTGTATGTACATCACAGAATGGGAACCTGGGATGCAACTTCAGCCGGAAAGATATGCTTCAATTAGCTGTTTTGGTGTTCCGTTGAATTTATGGAATTCGGATACGTACAGAAAGATTGGCCAACTATGGGGGGAAGTGATCCAGTTAGATACAGACCTCTGCAATCCATCATCTTTTCGCTATGGAAAGGTAAAGATAGTCACAAATGTAATGGAACCGATAAATACCAGTCTGAATCTAGAGTGCAAAGGCAAATCATACCCGATAAGAGTATGTGAGGACCAGCCTAGTAAGGAGGCTTCGACCAGCTGTAAAGGTAAATACACTGAGGAGGGAGATGAGGAAGTTAACTCCAACGTCAATGGAGTTTTACAGTCAGTGGCAGATAGCAAGAGGGAGGTAGACGATGCTGATCAGGAAGCTGAGCTGGAGGATGATGTGGCAAGTAAGAACGAGAAGGCCAAAGGTGTTTCAACCCCTAGGCTGAAGGAAAGGAGTGAGATAGGGGTAGGTGATAGTTACTTGTAGCTTTCAGTGGTGAAAGAGACAGAAGAGTGTATGGGGAATTCAAATGAAACAGACTCTGGCATGGGCGATACAATGATGAAAGAGGAAAGTGTGCAGCAGCAGCAATTGCAGAAGTGTAATCATGAGTTGGGAAAGGTTGATGAGCTTCAAAAAGGCAAAGAGCTGGTCTCTAGTCAAGGCTTCGTTAGAAGTGTGACTGAAACCCAAAAAGGTAGATCTGGTGTATGTTTGGAGGTGGATTTGGGCCATGAACAAAATAGACCCCAGCCCAATGACTGTGCCCAATACAAAACTCAGGGGAATGGGCTCAGACAACCGTTGGTAAGTTCTGAAGGTGACCATTCAAGGGTGGGTTGCAAATCCTTAAGGGTGGGCTGCAAATCCAAAAGCATGGATTCTATTAGTGTCTCTAGTGGTGGTTCCAATAATAACCTGATCAAGCAAGGCCCAAGGAAAGAAATCAGGCAAGGTAGATGTAAATATCCACTGGCTGTAGGAGGCTTCAACGGACTGGCCAGAAGAGTTGGGCAGAGAAGTGTGGGTGCAGGACGAAGCAGGGCTCAGCAGTCAGCCACGGTGACAGCAGCTGTGCAGAGACCATGTGTAGATGAGAGGCACAACAACTGTGAAGCAGATAAAATTCTTGAAGCTCAAGCCACGCTAAGTCTGGGGAAAAGGCTGGGGATTGAATTCAAAGGGCAGGATGCAGAAGTTTTGAAGAAATTAGTACAACTAGAGGAGAAGGATAAAGAGAGGCTAGGAGGGAGGTCCGACAGGAGGGGGGACTGATGTTTCCATGTAATCAGTAATGTTGGGGGGATGATACAGCTGAAAATTGTTTATGATGAAGCTTTTAAGTTGGAACATTAGAGGGATGGGTAGACCAGAAAAGAGGAGAAAAATCAAGAACCTGTTATTTGACAGAAATATTGATATGGTTTTGATTCAAGAAACAAAAAGGCCAAGTTTGTCCAATCCGGTGATTAGGAGTTTGTGGCCAAGGGAAAAGATGGAATTCATGGCTGTGGATGCAATGGGTGTGGCAGGTGGATTATTATGCATATGGGATCCTGAGATATTTCAACTTTCCGAGTGCTGTAGCAGTCGAAATTTTATTCTGCTATCAGGTACCATTCTGCACTCCTTCAATTGTGTTGTAATTAATGTATATGCTCCAAATGATGTTATGAAGAGAGGGAAAGTATGGGAATCCCTTTTAAAGTTGAAGACCTGTTTTCCAAAACCTTGGTGTCTTGGGGGTGATTTCAATGAGATCACAAGTCTGAGGGAGAGAATAGGTAATTCAAGGAGAGACAGAGGTATGAAGGAGTTTAAAGAATTCATAGATAGTTGTGAGGTGGCTGATATGCAAATGATAGGGAGAAAATTTACTTGGTGTAATGCCCAAGATGGAAACAAATGGAGTAGAATAGACAGATTCCTCCTTAGCCCTGAGTGGTTGGAGAGATACAAATTCAAACTGTGGGGACTGCCAAGGTTGGTCTCAGATCACTGCCCCATAGTACTCAAGAAGATGAGAGGGATTGGGGCCCCACATCCTTTAAATTCTTGAATGCTTGGTTCCTACATCACAATTTTGCATCTTTTGTGGAGAATACATGGAAGGATCTACAGTTTCAAGGGGATGTGGGTTACATTCTGCATAGTAAATTGAAGGCCCTTAAGATGGCATTAAAGCCGTGGAATAAGGAGGTTTATGGTAACACTGCTACGCAACTCCAAACAGTAGAAGATCAGCTTAATGGATTGGACCTCATGGCAGAATCAAGACCTCTAGAGGATGCTGAAATCAAACAAAGAAGAGAGGCTACGAATGAAATGTGGAGGTTGAGTAGGATGTTGGAATGGGCGTGGTTGCAAAAGTCAAGGTTAGATTGGAATATGAAAGGGGACAGGAACACAAGGTATTTTCATGTCATGGCTACTAGTCGACAAAATAGGAATGCCCTCAATTCCATTGCTGTTGGAGATAGGGTGCTTCGAGCTGAAGATAGACATTCTTTCATCCATGAAATCCATTTTGATCCAAAGCCAAAGCTAGAGAGCATTGAGAGCAAGAATTCCCAATTGAGGGAGTCATAAGCCTTCTCAAAATCGATTTTGAACAATAACCCTCTTCTCTTGGTTTTTTTCCATCCATCCACAATTTCATTTGCAATCAATACTCCATCAAGTATGTTTCTTCCTCCTAAGAAAGCTAATTGAGCTTCACCAATTACAGTTGGCATTACCTTTTTTAGTCTACTTGCTAGGACCTTGGTGAGTATTTTATAGGCTAACCCAATTAGGCTGATTGGCCTATATTCATTTAGATTAACTGCATTCACTTTCTTTGGAATAAGTGTAATGAAAGAACTATTCAACCCACTGGCCAACCTGCCCCTATTATGGAAATCTGTCATAAATAGCATTACATCCTCTTTAAGCACCTCCCACTGTTTCTGAAAAAACATTAAATTGAAGCCATCTGGTCCTGGAGCTTTGTTCCCATTGCAAAGTTTGACAGCTTCCCAAACCTCCTCTACAGAAAACTCTGACTCTAGTGTGTGGAATGAATCACTTTGCCTCACACTCTTGAAATCACCCCCGATCACAGGTCTCTGCCTCCATTCTTCTGAAAATTGTTGTCTAAAATGTGACCACACCTCATTCTTGACTAGGAATGGTTCCTCAAGCACCCTATCGCCATCAGCAATGGAATTGAGGGCATTTCTATTTTGTCTACTAGTAGCCATGACATGAAAGTACCTTGTGTTCCTATCCCCTTTCATATTCCAATATAACTTGACTTTTGCAACCAAGCCCATTCCAACATCCTACTCAATCTCCACATTTCATTCCTTGCCTCTCTTTTTTGTTTGATTTCAACATCCTCTAGAGGTCTTAATTCTGCCCTGAGATCTAATCTATTTAGCTAATCTTCTACTGTTTTGAGTTGAGTAGCAATGTTACCATAGACCTCCCTATTCCACTACTTTAATGCCATCTTAAGGGCCTTCATTTTACTATGCAGAATGTACCCCACATCCCCTTGAAACTGCAGATCCTTCCATGTATTCTCCACAAAAGATGCAAAATTTTGATGTAGGAACCAGGCATTCAAGAATTTAAAGGGTGTGGGGCCCCAATCCCTCTCATCTTCCTTAAGTACTATGGGGCAGTGATCTGAGACCAGCCTTGGCAGTCCCCACAGCTTGAATTTGTATCTCTCCAACCACTCAGGGCTAAGGAGGAATCTGTCTATTCTACTCCATTTGTTTCCATCTTGGGCATTACACCAAGTAAATTTTCTCCCTATCATTTGCATATCAGCCACCTCAAAGGGCCAGCCTCCTACAATTTTATGTCAATAATTTGCAGATTAAAGTGGGAGATGGGTGTAGAGTAAGCTTCTGGCATGACTGCTGGAATGGAACAGTCAGCCTTAAGGATTTATTTCCTAGACTATTCAGATTGTCAACTGATAAGGTTGAGCCTGTATGGACCTTTGTGGCTAGAAGAGGAAATTTTGTCAATTGGGTGTTTAGATTTAGGAGGGTTCTATTTCAATGGGAACAAGAGGAGCTTAATACACTTGTTCAATCTATCTCAGCAGGCCCCATGTTGGTTTTGAACTATCATACTCCGGATATGGCAGTTTGGTTAGCAGCTAAATCAGGGCAATCATTCGTCTCAACCCTGTATCAATACACTGATTTGCAGCATGGAGAAGTAATGAGTTCTTGTCGGTTGGTGTGGGTTAAATACCTCCCCCCTAAAGTCCAATTTTTCGGTTGGTTAGCTTGGAAGCATAAGGTGAAAACTTCTGTTTTTCTGAATAGAATAGGTGTGCTGAACGCTAGTGCTGGAACTACTTGTCTGTTCTGCAAACAATCCCAGGAGACAGTAGAACACTTGCTAATCTTATGTCCTAAGGTATGGAGAGTGTGGGCTGGTCTGTTGCAGTGGTGGGGAGCGCAGTGGGTGACACCTAGATCTGTTGCAGAACTTTTGCAGTGGTGGGCAGGTAATAAATGCACCAAAGCTGAAAGGAGAATTTGGGATGCAATCCCTTTGGTGGCTCTGTGGTCAATCTGGAAGCATAGGAATGAATGCCTTTTTCAAGATGTCCAACCTAACCTGGAAGAGATGCATGAAACTATTGTCGTTAGGACTACAATATGGCTGAAATCTGATTCAAGGGATTTACACTATCCAATCACTGACTATGTGTATAATCTGGTGCAAATTAGAAGATGTTTGGGTGGGAGGATGTAATGCATTTGTAATCACCTGGTGAAGGCTATTTAGACATGGTATGCTTCAGGTCTTCTAAGAGGGTAGGTGAATTTATAAGGAGTAATGTCTGCTGGTGTCTCTGTTTGGTGGTTTGCTGGTGCTTCTGTTTTGGTGTATTAGCACTGGCTTCAGTGGGGTGTGCTTGGTGGATGGCATTCTTTTTATCTTCACATAAATGCCTGCTATACAGTTCTTCCAGATTGGATGGTAAGTCTTACTGTCATAGTTGGCTGCTTTTATCTTGATTGCTATGCTTGTGTGTTGTGTGCCACAGTAGGTTGGTTACCTGAAGCCAGTGTAAATCCATCCTGTTCTGTTTCCGCCTCACCTATGTTTGGCTCGGGCCTGCCCACTGTTTAGCTGCGGCACTGGTATAATCAGCGGTTTTGCTACTTACGGTTAAGATGTTGTCCAGATTTATCAGTACAGTGGATTGGTAGCAGCACTGGTTTTGTTCATTAAGCCTCAGTTGCTACAAGTGTGGCTTGGTGTTGGCTTGGGTGAAGTTTTGTTTTCTTTTTTCGCTCCCCTTCTGTTTTTTTCAGTTTTTGTTTTGTTGTTGGTTTCTCACCAACTGGCGCTTGGAGCTTCTGTTAGCTCCAAGCTCCTCTTTATTGATGTCTTGTATCCTCTTTGTTTACTTCCATCAATAAAGATTGTCGTTGCCGTTCAAAAAAAAATGTACAATAAGATATATAAATATAAAAAAAGTTGAATATCATAGAAACAATCTCTAATAAGATGAAGATATATCATATACACTCTCCCAATAAACATCACACAATCACAGTGTCTCTCTCTCTCTCTAAACCCTAACCCCTTTTGTCTCTTTCTCTCCAAACCCTAACCCTAACCCTAACCTCTCTATCTCTCTCTCTCTCCACATAGATTTCGTATCCTCGAAGACGACGATAACGATTGCACCAAAGTCATCAATGTCGTTGGGCTTCTTGATCCATCACCATTCCTGTCGGAATTCTAAGTCCAGATACAAACCACAATACAACATCAGTTTATGGAGATGCAAGTGAAAAACCTAACCCTAGCTCTAAAGTAGAGAAAGAAATAGAAAATTGTAGAGATAGAAAGGGTTACTTGTAGAGAGAGAGAGAGAGAGTGTGTGTGAAATTATGTATTTGGCGCAAATCTAATTTTATTTCTTTTGAAAAGGCATATCTGGAGGTCTTCAACTAAGATAACGCAGACGTTGGCCTCCGCCACTCTTCCATTGCCATCGTAGCCTATGCAATGACATCTTTATTGAGATGACCTTGTCACCGTCGCAGTAAACTCCGTCGAAGTTCCCAGATGTATACTCGTGTAGTCATAAACAAAATACCCATTTTCAATCGACATGGTGGGAAAAGGGAAGAAATCATGGTTGAAGCATATCAGTTTCAAGAGCACATTGATCGGCTAGAGTCAACATATCGGATTTTGCAATGGTGAGATCTAATCACCGCCGCCACTCCCTCTCATTATCTACAGATCTCTATTTTGTTTTTAGTTGTTGTTGTGGTAGATCTCTATTACAGATCTCAATTTTTTTTTTTTAGTTGTTGATTATTTTTATTTTTGTTGTTGATGATGATGATGATGATGATGATGATGATGAAAAAATTGCAACAAATAAGGAAAGAGAGAACAGGTAGGGAAAAAAATTAAACAAATAGGGTTTACAAATCAGGGTTGGTTTGGCTATCTATCTCAATAGATAAGATTTGGTTTAGTTTGGTATTTCAACAGTTAAAAAAAATAAAATAAAAAATTGAATAGATAATAAATTTTTGATAGATATTTGAACACATAAGAGGGAAAAATTGAGTAAATAATAAAAAAAATTGAATAAATAGATATAAATTTAAACAGATAGAAAATAATTTGAATAGATAGATATAAATTTAAACAAATAGAAAATAATTTGAACAAATAGATGTAAATTTGAACAGATAAAAAAAAAGTCAATAAATAAATTAAGGGATAAAATTGAAAAGAAAATGTCATTCAAAACGAACAAAATAACTTATCACCAAACTATTTCACAAACGGTGGATTTCTCACCAACAAAATATATATGTATATATATATATTGCAAGCTTCAATTGAAGTAGAGGCAGAGCTCTTCATAGGCTTAGGCCGACGAGACTAGGGCATGGCCCCCCAATTCTCAACCCTGACCTACACAAGTGGTTTTAGAACCCACATTTTGAAAAGTTTTGTTAGGTTCTTAGTAGCAATCAACGACCTTTTCTTCTTTTACTTCACATAGCTTTTCGTCTCCTTGATAGCTGGAAGTTCTCCAAAAGTATGAAAAGGTGGGGGACTTTGTACAGTCCATATATATACATATATATATATATATATATTTAGAAGTGTTATGACAAATATAAATTTTCACATAAATAAGGAGGTCATAGGCCCCTTATAATTTTCTCCTAATTTTATCTATGTTTCGATACAAACACTATTTTATGGATTAGTTTCTAGAGTTTTTTTTTAAAAAAATATTCTATAAAAAATAATAATAATTTAGAGAATTGACCCACTTTTCAAACTATTTGGGAAACTAACCTTTTTTTTGAAATCGCAAGTTAAAAATGTAATTTTATGATGACATAGACTTCACGAAGATATATTGCATTTTCAACATACGATTTGAAGTTGAAATTGCATGTTGAAAATGTAATTTTCAATTAAAATTGTATTTTCAAAATGTAATTTCAAAAAATAGGTTAATTTTCCAAATAATTTGAAAAATGGATCAATTCTCTTTTTTTTTTTAAGAATATTAAAAAAAAAAAAAAAAATTTCGTTTCCATCTTCCTTTTTTTAATGAAAATAATTTATGTCTCATTTTTAAGGAAAATGAATTGTGGTCCTAAAAACAGTGGCCCTAATGGCCCTAATTTCCTTTTCTGGATAAGTTTGTTTTTTTTTTCTTTTTTTTTGCCTTGTTTTTTTTTTTTTTTTTTTTTTTTTTGTTGTCTTATATGAAAATTTAGGGGCATTCGGGCGCCTAAATTTCGAGCTACCAACCAAAACCGCATTTTTAAATCTGCTTGATGGAGTCTCCTATCTCTAAAATCCTTACCTAGTACGCTATTCATATCACATGATATGACAGATTAATTGATTTATATTTTAAAAGATGACACATTCTTCACAAAAGAAACGATAAGGATTTCCTTAACAAATTTGAAAAAAAAAATATTTTTACCTTTATATTTTGTCTCGATTTTCAATTACATCTTAAGACTTTGAATAATTTTAATTTTACTTCCAAAAGTTTTGAAATTGTATCAATTTTACTCCTGCCGTCACATTTGAAACGAAAAAGGTTAAAAAAATTACATTTTGACCCTAAATTGCACACTCACTTTCTCTTATTAGCAAACCACCACCACTTCAAGCACTTCTATCTCTTTTGTTTTAACTTCGTTTTGTTTCATTTTTATGTTGTTGAATTCATCTCATGACCTAATTTTCATATCACCTCTTATTATCTCGTTCTTTCTCTTTTTGCATGTCGTCGAAGCTCCAAAAATTGATTAAAAAAATAAGACTTTTTTTCTCGTTTCTAATTTTTTTTCAAGTTATCTTTCGGACTTCATATCTTTCTCAATTCTTGACGATTCTACTTTATTCTTTTGTAATTCTCTTGATCTCACTTCATACTTCATCCTATAATACCTTGCTTTCTCACTTGTTCGTGTAATGGACGGTTTTGGTATGCCGAAAGTTGTCTGCAAACTAACTTCAAAAATTTCAAAACATTCATCTTTTGTTTCTTTCTCCTCCATCTTCCTCATTCTTCTTCTTCTTCTTCTTCTTCACTTATAACATGATGTCGAACATGGTTCTAGGTGGTAACGAAGCTTGTGATGGTAGTAGTGGCGGTCTAGCTGTCACGACCCAAACCCGCCCCCTATAGGTTTAGTGTCGTAACTGGCCAGTAATCTTGGGATTACCAAAGGCCTCTGAACAAATTAAACAAGATACAGGGGCTAGCGGAAGCAAATATAAACATATACGCCCATAGAGGTGTGTAGACATACATGGGACAGAAAATTTAAAACTTCATTTCCATAATTAAGATGCTATGCCCACGTCACTATTCATACATACAGACTAACAAAAGACTTGTTCAAACTTAACAAAAGGAATACAAAAACTTTATCATGATTCACAAAAGCTTGATCACTACAAAAAGGGAACCCCCTCAAGAGGCACTACGGCTGGCTGACAAAAAGAAACTCCAGGCTATCAACTCTAAGCCTAGTCACACGCCTAGTCACCTACATACATACATAATAATAAGGTGAGCTAGAGCGCAGTGAATAACAACAGAGTAAAGGATTTATAAATGATGTCCAAACAGTTTCAAGAATCGGAGTTCACATCAGAAACAGATTCGGATTCACATATTTAACCAGAAGTGATAAATAGTTATATGTGGTACATATATTGGCTATCATATCATCTTGGTCCTGGGACCCATACGCATAGTCGGTACCGACGACCCCAAAGGTCCATATCTGGTACACAAGTAGCCATGGTATTGTTTTTCCCAGGTAAGGGCCATGTATAAACCACGGTATTATTTCCCCTGGGTAAAGGCCATATGATCATAAGCCACGGTATTGTTTCCGCCGAGCGATGGCCACATAAACATATGCCACGATATTGTTTCCCCCAGGCGATGGCCATGTGAACTAAGGATGCCACAAATATATTTTAGAAAATTGGACATTCATTCACTATTCATAAAATAGCACTTCATAAATAGATCATATCTTATCATTCTGAAAATACTTATAATTAAACATAACTTTACAGAGTTGTTACTCATAGATAGCTCCGATAGCAAAATGGACAAAGCATACAGATCAGATAGCCTATGGCGCATGACCTACACAAGCACATGACAAATGCGCATTGAACACATGCTCGAAAAACACATAACTCATTCCTTTTTCTAT